CAGTGTGTGAAAACATGAAAACCTACAAAGCAATTCCCATTTTTTAGGATTATACTTATACTGAGCTCAAAAATGACATCTGTGCCCAGACCTCCGTCTTGGTTAAAGAACGACTACATAAACTGTATCTCATGATCATCTATATAAATATGTAAGCATCCTGCAAAGTCTATGCAAATTTAAATGGAAAATCTTACAAAAAGCGTGTTCGCTGCTCTGTGAGAGAAGCAGTTATCTTCCTTTTAAACATAATCCCGTCTGTCCCTTTGATATTAATCTTTCCTATTATGTTGCTGATAATCAGAATAATTAGTTAAAATCTGAGGACAAACCAGCGCTATTAGTCTGTAACTGTTACTTTTCTCCGAATCATGGAAGTCCTCCACCCTCCTCTTGGTGTAATTTGGCATTGCAGCAGAGCAGCCGTGTTGCTGTGCAGACAGGCAGGGGTGTACACCTGTCAGGACGAGGCATGACTGAGCATATCGAGTGGAGACGCACCGCTCCACGAGCGCCTTTCTACATTGTTTTTACCCGTGTGTGTGTGCGTGCGCATGCTCTGGCTTATTTGCAAATCTATTTCCATGGGGCCGCGAGCAGCAGCAGCAGCAGCAGCTAACGACTTTGCTGTTCCCCATGTAAATAACTTGGCCACAAACACGCTGTGAAACAAAGTAGATTTATTTCCTGAATACAACGACTGTATTTCTGTTGCACAACGCAATCGTGGGAAAATCATTTCACTGCTCGGTGTGGTGTCACAGTTTATCCTTTGATACAGAGCTGGAGCTGATGCTGGGGGTGCAGAGAGCCTGTGTAGCCAAATAAAAACATGCATGTGTCACACTGAACCCTGTAATTAGGTTTCACTCAGCAGAGGGACCTTCGGCGCTGTGATGTAGGATGTAGGGAGGGAAGGTCACGCTAACAGTGGTCGAGCACATTTATCTCTGTGGGTGCAGAGCTACACGTCGACAGGACGAGAGCTGTGATGAAGCTGTAACAATGCCTGCTATGAGAAAGCAGCTCGTATTTACATAGCGTGTGTGTGTGTGTGTGTGTGTGTGTGTGTGTGTGTGTGTGTGTGTGTGTGTGCACGCGCGTGTGTGTGTGTGTGTGTGTGTGTGTGCGTGTGTGCAAGTAAACCTGTTTACACAGCTACTTTATGAGAACGTCTTCCTTTTAGGGACAAAGAGCAGGTCTCCCTGAAGCAAGTGATTAAATTTGAAGGTGAATGCATGTTTTATGGTTAGGTTTAGCTTAAGG